ACACTTATCACCTTTTCATGTAGCATACAGACGTAAATGTTTATATCTAATATTATATCAAAATATTACCTGGTTCGGCCCTGCATCGATCCGTGTGCCATCACGCGGTTCTAATTTCGGTCCAATTCCGTACAAATGCATCCGCGCGCATACAGAATCGTGTGTGCTTTATTATCTATCATCTATTCATTCTATTTTAGTTTAGCACATAAAATTAGATACATTCAGATGATAATGGACATTCAGAGATATCTTTTGGAAAAGAACAAGGAATCGAGGTCTTTTTTTAGTCTTTTGGCGAGGGAAGTACTTTTACGTATGCTTAGATTTTTGCTTGGGTCTCAATAATAATGATACCGGTCCAAACAGACCATCGAAAGGCAACATTGTTGGAAGGATCTATCAATTAAGATGATCTTTCTTCGTTTCCTTTAATTGGGGTCATTCCTACTCCTTATTTCTATCTATGAGGTCTGTGAAGACATTTTTGCAAATATGCTGATGGCGTACCAAACAACCCCTTTGTCAACTTCTCTTTCGTTAGTGTATCTTGTATAATCAATAATACATGTGTTAAGATTTGTAATACGAACTTTTCTCATAAATTTATTAAAGAAAGAAAGGGTTGGTGAACTTGAAAAATTTCCTAGGATTTCATTTATGTTTCTTATTATTAATTTTGTAAAGAGCTTTCTAAGACTTTTCAGTACCGAGTACACATAATCTCACTATATATAAATATGCATTTGTTATATATTTGCCATATATATAACGTAACATTGTAACTTTCACAATTTATGATGTATTCACATTTTGCCTACAAATAAATTTGCGCTCATGTTACGTTTAATAAGATGCACATAAATACCATAAACTACGACACGACATGACAATATATTCATATATAATACATAATTATATATGTATATTAAAATTTAGTCAGAAATCTGACAGAAAATTTCTAAATGAAAAACATTATTATATTTCCACAATTGTTTTCACGTTCTAATTTAATCTCATGGAGTTTGTGGAATCTTTAAAACCTATTCCAAAAAAACAAGTTTTCTAAATGATCTTATATGCCGAAAACCCTCAAACTTGTCGAAAACATCAAAATTATAAAAAATTTGAAGAACTCTTTGATTTTGTTATTGAACCAATTGTCCCTGAATATATTATACAGTTTTTTATATGAAGTCAGAGAGGATAAAACAAAAATTATCTACTATTATCTTTAACATCTATTCCCCAGCTCCCTTTCTACTATATTTTCTTTAAATGCGTATGCGTTATTTATATTCATACATTATCTACACACCGTCAGCGATGTATTGAATGACCGGCGCGCAAAAACCGGTTACAACCAGATCTGTTAGTGTTTCTCAAAGTTTCTCCACATCCATACAAACACACAGTTTGTTCGATCAGTTTTTGATCTGTTCGAATCGGACGAGCTTTTAAGATTTTAGGGCGATTTAAGAAAAAATCATCCTTGTGGCCATGCGTGAACATAAGGGATTCAAGGGACTCTGAATCTAATTCAGAAATGATAATCTCTATAACAGTGGTCAGGGAACCGGGGTAAAGTACCAGAGATGTGGTAAAGATGGAATTTTTTGGGGGTAATAAGTATGTATTTTTAATTGATATTTACTGTATTTGCTACGTAGTTGTCCGTATGAGGGTAATCTCTCTTCGCCATGGGGGTAATATGAAACGAGACAAACATATTTTGGGTTAATGATTCTAAAGTTTTCCGACCGCTGCTCTATAGTATCCATGACGTCAGCAAATACTAAAATTGAAGATTTTTTTATTACCACGATATATGAACAATTGTTTAGGTAATTACAAAAAGCCTCGATTTATATGATTAAACAAGAGGTTAATTGTTAAATTAATTGTAGGCGTACTATTTGTACTACAATGCTTGCTTGCAGCTAATATAACAACAAATACTATAATTAATAAATCTTTCGATCCTTTATAATTTTTCAGAAAAATATATATCATACGTTTTGAAGCTTTGTGCAAGTTTATTTGCGATTCGAGTATTGTGATTAGATAATCCGGCGTTTGAAAATTTTCCGCTTTTCATTTTTGCACGAATATTATTATTATTGATAACTCACACATACACACACATTATATATATAACGTTAATTATAACATTCTATTTTTTTTAAAAAAAATACTCACTTTCAAACATAAGCATATGCAATTTACAATTCAAATCTAAAAAAAGCACTACCATTATCATGTTAGTTTGTATAAAGAAATTGTCATGAACGTACGCGAGTTGTAATTTTTAGGCGAGTTTGTATGATGGAACTGCTTTTTGTGGACGCTACCAGTAATTCTTCATAAGAGCCCGTTTGTTAATCTAGTGATCGATTTTTAAGATTTTTGGACCATCCCCTTTCCCTTAATGATACTTTGTGATATTTAAAATTAGCCCCCACCCCAACCCAACATCACATGTAATTTCAATATCTAGAGAAAATCGCGAAGTTTTTGAAAAGGATAATGGATTTATTTTTCAATTCAGGTAAACACTAAATACAAGTTATATTTTACTAGATCCTCCCCTCCCCACTATGATATCATGTGATTTTTTGTCAAACCCATAGATAAAAGAAGAAGTAAAACCCCTACCTCACTTATAAGTCTGTCGTGGTGATTAATGGACCTTCCCCAAGTTTGAATAGAATAATCCTTTTATCATTTTGTATGAAATGATACAAATATCATTTCTACCGATTATAAATGATCATTTCTACGTATGCACCTGAACTTCACAAAATTTGTATGAAGGAGTCGCTCTGTACGTAGTATGTACACGAGCTTCTTCTCTCAATAAGTTTTCATGAGAGAATCGCTATGTACGCACACTAGTTGTAATCTGGATGTTATTTTGTATATAGAATCTTACAAAAGTTCCAGGTGTTCAAAAATAACTTGTGGAAGTACCGTGTACTACAATCTTGTAATTTGGGCATGTGAATCTTTAAAGAATGTGTTACGACAACAATTACTAAAATCAATAAGTCTTCTAATTTTTGCACAATAAAGGCCATATTTGGTTCAAGAAGCCGCTTGAATTGCAATGTTGCAAATTTAGTATTTCTCACATATCAATTATGAGATTTTTTTTAAATTACGGTGCTTTTTTTAATCATTAGATTTTTACAAACCGGTTTGAAATTACTTGCAAATTTAAGTTACCAAATTCTAATCAATATCTATTTATCTATCGATTCGTCGCGGTGGATGAGTTCAGTGACATATGTCGTTGTTTTCTATCGCAGAAGTAGCAGAAGAAGAGGATTTATTTAATGTGAATACAAAATGCGCATGTGAAACGACAATCTAAATATAAACTAGATATTAACATACAAGTTGCCTAAATGTCCACGTGGAATCTGAAAACATTAGGGTTAGGTCACATAGATAATATTCAAGGTTGTAATTCAAATCCTGCGAGAGTCATAATTTAAATTCTGCTCAAAAATTATCAATTTTAGTATTTGATTGATTATCAACATACTTTTTTTGAAAATAGTAACGCGCACTAACAATGAGTGCCAGACGCCACATAGTATTTAATTACAGTTTCATGTTCAGTTTTAGCCTTATGTGCAATTTGATTACTTACTCATCACATTCCTTTCGATAGTTTTAACTGGATTTTTTCAGAAAATGTTCCACGACACAGACTAGAATCGTATTCAAGATAGTAATAGAAACCTATAGTCTGTCAAGGCAGACGAACTTGATTACTATGATTTCATTAATTGAATTTCGCGAAACTAAACATTTGGTTATCTAATTTACTGATCGATTGATGATTTTTTGCAGAAAAAATATTTAGTGAATAATAAAAGATCCAATTGATATTAGAATCATATAGGACTCTCGTGTTCTTGTTAACTTCCTTTAGGGTAAGTTATAGTAATGGGCCAAAAATCGAAAATGAATTTTTTTTACATATCTTTACACTTGAGAGGTTTGGCATGTGTTGACGGAACAATGGTTTTTGGAGAATAAAAAAAATTTTTGAACAATTTTTTTTGAATATCGAAAAAAATTTGGATTTTAATTTTGATTCTAGCTAATATACTTGAAATAAATAATTTTAACTTTAGAATTAAGTTTATAACCATGGCATTGAACGGCTCAGAAGAAAACGTCCCCTTTTCGATATTCTTCAGTAATATGTATAATTTCTCGTAAGCTTAATTAAATATTTCCACAACAGAACTACATTTATAAGCTAGACATATCCAACATCGAATTGGATTACCAATGTGACCTTTCGACCCTTTTTCTTTATTTAATATACCATCAAAATTACTGAATGTTGTATAAGAACGACAGATTGTAATTCGCAAATGTAAATAAAAAAAAAGAATTCAGTTTATATAATTCTTAAAATTTTTTTTTTTTTTTTTTTTTTTTTGTAACAATTTATTTTTGTTAATCAAGACTTTAATGTCTTAGAATTATGAGACAAGATTCTTCATTCTACTCCCCTTCGAAGTGGATCAAGTTTTGTTAATTTACTTTTCATGTAATTTCATGTACAATTTATAAAAGCTTTTATATTTTGTCTATAAAATACGAACAATGAAATTTACAGTATTTATAATAATATATTTGAAAACATTTAATATTTTTCGAATATTTTATTACAGTACGGGAAGTACCATACACCACTAGTTAAAGTTTTATAATTTTTTAAAAAATGGTCAAACCCAAGTTTTTGTACAAAATTTTACACGGTGGAGTAAAAACTATAGACTTTTATGTAACAATAATTAATGAAATTTTGCGGAACAAAATGGCAATCAACCAGAATCATGTGATATGTATTTGTTTCAAGTTCCAAAAAACATGAAACTTGTTTTTTAAACTATCTGCGTCTCTCATTTATCTACTAAATTCTTCGAGACAAGTGACAGTGTACATAAAATGTAAATTTAGAATTTCGATCTCCCGTCCTCCCGTCCATTCTATATTTTCGTCTCGTCTCATCTCTCTCAGCGACGGCGACAGCGACAAGATTTTGAGTTTTAGTGCAAGCGCGAACACCAGACGCGGTACACCACCGCCACCACCAAAAAGGATAAAAATTAAACCGCCACCGAGTAATCGATACAAGTAATAATCATACACGCGCCTCCTAATAATCATTCGTAACACACTAACAATAAGTATCAGCACCACCATTAATAATATAAACCACCACAACCCCACACCCCAAAAGATACGTCCCATTATATCCATCATAATAACCGATGACATTTTTGCATCATAATTCAAAAACCGTAAATTCACAACCGTAACAAATCAAGAGGACCGAAAATTTGTGCACCACCATACTGCCATCATCAACAAAACCACATTTTTGCACCACCATTCTAAACCACCTAATAGAACAAACCACATACTCACACCTTGACATTCATTCTCACCATAATATACATCCCTAATAATCTACCACCCCACTAATTATTGATACCGCCATCATTTGCCACCGCTAAATAATTGTCACCACCACAATTCAGGAAAATTTATGAAACTTTATCCCAAAAAGCTGCAGTTGAATTTTCGTGACGCGTGAAGTGTAAAATAGTGTTTTTGGTTACGTAATATTTTTGTGGATCATTTTCGGATACTTTATTTTTAACACGAGCAGGTGAATAGGATACATATAATATATTGTACTATATATAGTACAATGGTATAAATAGTTTAAATAAATACATTGATTTGAAAGCAATTTTTTTGATTTGGGCTTTGTACCCGAAATCTTATATATGTCCAAAAAGCTCAAGGCGCACCGTTTGTATAACGAATTTGCAAAACGACAAATAATAAGGTTTGCAGGATACAGTCTCATTATTGCAGTTTGTACTACAGTCTCATTATTTCTCAAAGTGTATATTATTTTGACATATAATAAAATCAAAGTGTTTTTTTTTTCAAATTTTTGAGTACTAAAGGATTTTGCAAAACAAGTGCATGTGTATAGTGTGAAAACGTTGACCGTTGAACGATATAATTGAGATCTACAGGACGTACCGTTTGTACTAAAATGTTGCAATTTAAATATATTATTCTTCAAAGTGTGTATTATATGGACTTATTTAAAATATAAGTTTTCCTGCAAAATTTTGAGTTAAAACTAAAGATTCTGCTAAAGTTTGGACTTGACCTGTTTTGTATGTAAATATTGTACGTATTTAGCTAGCTGCACAGGGCACACAGTTTGAACTACAATTTTTAAATTTCGTTTTTATAAAAAATCTATTAAACTAAAACAACTGAAGTTTCTTTGAATTTATAAACTGTGCACTAAAATAATTTACAACATTTGATATTGAACACCACTCTGGATATTTGCACAAATTCTTCATAATCATTTATTTTTTGCAAGGTCTGTTAAATAATAGAAACACAGGCGGACAGACGGACGGAAAGTTCTTATTTAACACTTAACACTTACAATGCGTATTAGAAGTTTCAGTAATTGGTGTTAAAAACTATTATTGATTTTGTAATTAAAATTTATTTCTCTAGTCGGGAAACAAATATCACGTGGAAATTGTTGACGAAACGTATAATATATACATTAATAATATATACATATACATACACACACACACATATATGTATAAATAATATGCACTATTTTCTTCCTTTTTTCACATTCTTTTTACAGTTACGCATATAGCATAGTTTACTCAATTTTTTTACAACTCAAAATTTTTGTAAAAAGTCACCAATTTCATTATTTATGGTCGTAACAACATATCTAAATTTCATCATTACAGTACAAATGGTACGTTCTGCAGAGCTCATTAAAAATGTTATCCGTCACTACATTATTATTGCCTTTTCGCCTCTTATTGTTAGCTAGATTTGGGGAAAATAGTAATTGTTTTACGTTCTGTAAAGCTTCTTGAAAATATATTTATTTAGTGATCCAAATCCAAAATGATATTTAAGAAATCCCTTAAAGTAGTATTTGTCATCATAGTAGACACTTTGAGGAATATAGTAGCCAGTAATCATCAAGTTGTAGTACCAGCAGTGCTTTCTGCAGAGTTCTTTGAATAAGAACAATGACAATCTCATGTATAATATGTAATTGTCAAGTGACTCTATTTATTATCTCTTATAATTTAAAAAATTGCAAAGTATACCAATTATTTGTTGCCATAATAGATGGTACATCTTGTAGAGCTCAAAATTAGGACGTATTTAAGTAGGTATCGTTTTTGCCAACATATGCAATAAAAATATTATAAATATTTGTTATAAAAATCATTCACAATACTAATTCCGTTGTAATAAAAGTTTTGGAGTACCACATATTAAAATTACAAGTTTGCACCACAAACCATACGTCCAAAAGCTCATTGAAAGCTTCATTGAGATTTTAGTTGGACCATCTACATTTTTTTATGCCGTTTAATAATAAAGTATTTGATTAATTAATATTAATGACGCATTAGACATACATGTTCAAATTGAAATAAAAAATTAATGCTGTGCATTTAAGTATGATTAATCATATTTAATAGCCAGTTGAGGTTCAATTAATTTGTGCATTTATTTATTATATTTATTGTAACGAATGAAATATGAAAAATTTAGAACCGTTTGAATGATCTATAATAATAATATGTAACGCTATAAAAGTTCCAACTAAGTCTAATATCGACAGTTTTAGAACCGCTGAGTAGGAACCGCAGAAGTTTTACGATCGCAAATAATCGTTTAGCAAAATATCGATTGCTATAAATTCGTGGAAGATTTTTTTTACGATCGATTCAACGATCGATAATAATTATGCATTCTTTATTTCATAACGTTTTTTGCTAAGCGTTAAATTACACAATTTCAGAGAATTGGAATAGATTATATTATGGGAATTGATTTTTCTGCAATACTAACTAATTAGATTGCCTTGAGGGCAGATTTATGTAATTCTCCTAGTGAAAAAAGCACAGGTGGATCACATTTCTAATAATTTTACAGAATTCAGTGCTTGTACTACTACCTTTTCATGTTATTTCTCGAAGTGTCTATATCCACAAATAATAAATTCAATATGTTTTTAGAAAAAAGAGTGAATTAAAATTTAATAAAACAAGTATGTATGTGCGGGTGTGAACGCTAAAATAACATGCCTTAATATTTTTGAGCTCTGCAGGACATACCATATGCTCAATTGTGATACAATTCACATATGTTACTCCACTTACTATCTATTTTGATATCAAGTGCTAAAATTAATACAATTTTTAACAAAAACCTTATTTTTACTTTAATTTTTGTTTTGTTTTATTTATCATAGCATCTATACGATAAGTACATTTAGCTACACGTATAGACAATTTAAAAAGATGGCGTGTGAAGGATAACTTTCTTATTTATATTTCATGAATATTGTGTATAACACATTTCTAATATATTTGTTATAAAAATTAGTACCAAAATTATTGATTTATTAAACAAAATTAAAAACCTCATAATATAATATGTGTATAAAGAATTTTAAAGCAATATGCACTCTACAAGTATTTTGTTGTAATTTCTCTCTGGAAGTATTTTTTGCTCCACGCCAGTGGATACATGCTTATGTAAAAAAAATAAAAAAATATTTTAAAGTGCAAGACTGAAATGTCGATCATCTTTGATAAATTAATTATTAATTTCATTCATCTAATGAATTTGTTTATAGAACAGGAAGTTCTAAAAATTTGTCTTAAGGCACTTCAGGCCTTTAGATTTTTTGCAAGGTCAGAACAAAAAATTAAGAAAAAACCTTGGCAGTCACGATTCCATTAAAATTCGTAAAGTAAATTTAACACGTCGATTTATAAACAATCATCTGCTTACAGCCCCGTTGAAACGATTCAATTAAAGTTAAGTGCAGAATTAACGCACTTAATAATGCTAATTGTGAATAATTCATATTGAATTTGCAATGTTTAAGTGATTCTAAATTTAATTTAACACCAAGGAGGAGTGACGACAACGAAAATAAATTCGTAAACAAATCTTAATTGTTATTATTGCGTTTGTAAATTGCATAAACAAATTTTGCAGCGTGATTAAATAGAGATTCTTGAAAGATTTTTCTGATCTTATGTTTCTACAATCTCCAGATACAGAGGGGCTTAATCATATTGACTTAATGCATTCTTGAATATTATTATTATTTTTAGTGCAGTTTGCTAAAATCGTTTAAATGTTTGTACTTTTGTTATAGAAATTATAAATTTGATTACCTAAAACCTAAGACGTCGATCTACTTTTACACTCATACCTGTAAATTCTTTTATTACTATATATTTTGTAAATTTTGCAACTTTATCATTAGTCGTAATAACAGAGTCTTCAACAAATGATAAATTAAAATTTCAAGTAGTATAAATTTCAAGGTTGTAGTACAAATGGTATGCCCTGTAAAGCTCATTGAAAGTATCATTAACCTTTTCAATGAGTTAAGAATAAATCCACAGATTCAACTTCAAATTTCAATCCATAAATTAATTTACATATAAATGTTTCTCAGTCTTTAATTTATTTTAATTTGCATATGAATGCTTGTCAATCTTTAATTATCGATTATCTTTTCCAGAAAACACAATTGCGACCGATGATCGCCGAATACAATCCAAAAAAACAAGGCGTAAAAACGGAGCTTTCGGACCTTGTGATGGTGAAGTAAGTTCTCCAAAATATTTTTTCTAAAATAAAACACAAGCCCCCTTATCACAACAAAAACAACATAAATGCAACAAATCTGCAGCTTTTTTTGTGCTAATCCGTGTTGCATCATCATCAGCTAAAAAAAACATTTTTTTCTTTCTAATCACCATTAAATTTTTCTCCATAAACATAATTATTTTTCTTAATATTAGAAACAAAAAAAATGTGGCAGAAATTTCAGAAAATGTCCTTGTAATGAACGATTTGTTTAGCTTTTGATGTAATGATGTTTATTCAAGGGTCGTATCCGAAATTTTTGTCTGTGCAAAAACACGCAAAAGTATTATTTTTCTAAAAAATATACATTACGGGTTTTTGTATTTTTTTAAATTTAGACACAATGATATATGAGTTTTTTATATTTGTAGCACAGCTCGTTTTACTTGAATTAACGCAAATAAAAAATTAAATTTATTTTATTGATTAAATTAATTAAATCTAACCATGTTGCATCGATTTGTTTATGAATTACGTTATACATAATTTATAATAATTTAGCTTTTATTGATCTAAATATTAGTAACACGAGCTGCCAATTTTAATTCCAAACTATTTGATTTTTTTTTGCAAATCTGCTGATCAGGTTACAAAATCGAAAAAAAAAATTCTTAATTTTTTTAGTCATAGTTAATTTTTTATAATTTTATAATTTTTAACTTACATTGTTTTAATTTTCGAAAAACCATTCCATACGTTTTGCTAAAATTCGTATTTTTATTATAAACTCAATTACAATTTATTATAATTTTGTAAGTTTTTCATAAATTTATATAATTACTTTTTGCAAAATTTGTTACTTTCTTATAATTTTCTCATATTTTTATTAAGTTTTATACTTATTATCATAATTTTCTATTTACATTTCAAAAAAAAAAATATTTCCATTTCATTTATATATTTCTTATTCTTATTTATAAAAAAGTTATAAAAATCCCATCAATTGCAAAAATCTAAACCAAATTAAAAATGATAATTACCATTTTATGAATTATTTTTGAGAAACCTAGATTTTGTATTTATTTTTTCGACTTTTATCAAAGTTTGATTTTATTATAAAAACTTTTATTTAGTCAGCTGGTTTTGTAGTTATGTTAAACAAATAAAACAAAAATTTTAAAAAATTATATAGGATTATCGTTAATAAATAACTAATTCAATTTTGTTTTATTATTAATCGGAATATTAAATAATTAAATAATTAAAAAAACTCATGTATCGTTGCCATTTTCTTATACCATACATATCATTTATACTAAAGTTTTATAACGCGAATAAAATAAATGAAAAAAGCATTCGATCATTACTTCTTTTACACAAGTGTATTTATAATTTTGCGTACTATTTATAATACAACTGCTTTAATATTTTATTCGCGATATAAAACACAAGTTTATTTCTATATCATATGCATCCATAATATGTCAATTCTTTTGTCATAGATTAAAAAAAAATACGTGAAGATTTTTTTAAAATTCTGTAGGGATGATTTTTTTAAATAAAAAAATGGAAAAGATCGCGAATTTGTTTTTGTTTATTTTTCACACGCGATTGGTTTGTGTCCCACGTGACAATTTTTTTTTTGACTTGGAGAGATATTTTTTGGGTTTTCTGCGAGGCCATAAGTATTATTTCAGAAATATTAAAAATTTCTTAAATTAAAACAATCTTGTGTTCCAAAAATTATAAAATTTTCATTCACAGTTGCCTAATACCATACAATCCAAAACCTTATTCAAAACATATATCTAGGATATTTTATTTGAGAATTCCTAGAGTCCTAGAGTTTGATCAAATCTAAAAAATCCAAGAATTCATTGAAATCCTAAAATTCCATCAAATTCCCGACTTACATGAAATACAAGATTTCCATAAAATTTTATAAAACTTTATTATTTCATCAAATCCAAGATTTGGAGACTTCAAAGATACCGTAAAAATCTAATTCGATTTCTATAAAAAATATCATTTCAAATGCAAGACTCCATAAAATTTAAGAGGCAAATTCTATAAAACCCAGAAATTCCAAAAATCAAAGAATTCCAGAAAGCTTAAAACAAATTTAAGTTCCTTAAACCGAGAACATCCAACAGATATCTCCAAACTAATTTGCAATTTTTTGCCTATTTTTCTATTTTATTTCACTTTAAAAAAATTGCAAAGTTGTCTCGCAGGATACAAAACCTTCGCCAAAATATAAAAATTAAAAAAAAAACAAAAGAAAAAAATTTATCGAAGCAGTTTCTGAAGCAGTAACACGAACGAAGACACAACGACAACAGCAAGATGGCTAGAAAGCAAATTTGCCGTCAGAAAGAAATGCGAGCAAAAAGGTTTTTTTTTTCAAAAAAAAAACAGGCCGCAGCAAAAAATTTCTGACGCAAATTAAAAATTTGAACGAGGAGAAGAGGATAAATGAACGAACGAAAGAACGAAAAGATCCGGTATCTAAATCTAGACTATATATATATAAATATAGTTAAATATTCTTCCTTTTCTTCTTCAATATTAGTATTATAATTAGTCGATAGTATTATTCGTTTTATTTTATTTAGATTCTTTTCCGATTGCCCGATTGCAGGAGACAAAACCAAAAGTGTTTTCATGATACTAACAATCAATAAACTATCGGCGATGAACATACCCTGTAGACTCTTGGATATATAGTATTAATATTATTATTGGTCCGGAATAGAATTCTCAGATCATGAATATTTTTTGTTTTTTTTTTCAATTTCGCAAAAAATTGCATTTCTATTCCATCTGTCTGTGATCTGAAATAATAATAATATCTGTGCCTCTGTATTCCTTTGGGTTACTTTGCGAAATAGATAAAAGTTGAAACGATGAAAAGAAAATATATATGGCGGAGAAAATTATATGTTTACGTCGACGACGAAGTCGATATGTAAAAATATGTCATGAAAATTTATATATATATATATATATATATATATATATAATCTTATGTTAGATAATTTAAAAAAAGTCTTACGTGAGACAAACATATTTACTCTCCATTCAAAAATCGCGCGTCATATAAAAAAATTATTTATGCGTCTGAAAAGTCTTTAATTCTCACTGGGACATGATAAATAAAATAATATTACTTGAAACAAATCTTATTGAGATATAAATAAATGAGTTCGTTCTATACTGAATATCTCACGTGAGATAATAAAAATAATCGGCGGCATCCGAGTGGAAAGGGTTCAACTTCATCACTAGACATAAATAATATACATTAAAAAATCTTACTTAAGAAATGAAATATACTATTTGAATACAATAAAAATCGCACATAACTTACTAAAAATCTGTGAAACATTAAAAATTATATGAGATATAGATTGTGGATTTGATTGTATGTTATAGTCTCACATGAGACTATAAATGTGTATAATAAAAACATCTAAATTGAAATATAAAGAAATAACGTATACACGTTCGAAATAAATAAGTTAGATATGATTTTAAAAAAATCGCTGAAACCTCACATGAGATAAATAAAAAAATCTTTATCACGTATCTTTTTCGGTGCAAGATCACCTGCGTCATACGCTTTCATCGCTTTTGATTTTATTTTTTGTGAATCGCAACATTCGCCAATTTCGAATATAAAAAATAAACTTCGTTTCTTATATTTTTGCAACAATAACTCATTATTTCTTATCTCTGACATTTTGTTTCCATTGACGTTTTATGCAAAACAATTTTCGTTTCGGCCAAGTAAGTACTCAGGAAGATTGCGCAAGCGATTTATTAATAAGCTCGCGAATTTTTGGCAAGTTCGCAATTTGCGAATTATTTTGTTTTGTTGTTATTTTCGAGTCAAGTGGCGACCACGATTCGAATCTACGTAATAATATGTTTATTTATAAATATATTTCGAAAGCTACGTAATATCCAAAAGAAGGACATGCTTGAGTACATCGCGCCGAAACGTATTTTATCCACTGAGAAAAATCTCACTTGAAGTATAATCACATCTGATCATTACTTTACATCTAGATGAGACACCAAAATACTTATCTAGTTTCATTAGTGAATTTCCTTCTACAACGTGTTATATTAACAATAGGATGGATAAAGTCTTCAAAAAACACAAGCAAAATACTTTTACGAAACCCACAGTGTCGAAGTTAGAATCATAAGTTATTACTTGTATTAAAAAATCTGCAAATTATTTTAGGTCCAGAAATAAAATATTCCAGAAGTAAAAATTTTACCATAACTGGCGATCTGTATCATGAAAACGCATTTTGTTTTGTTTTTTATTTTTTCAAAAAAGAATATTTATAAGTTTCATTTCATTTCCTTTAAATTCGTGCCTAAAATAAATAAGTCCTAAGTAATTATCCTGATATCATCTTTAACTTAAGTAGCCTTAGGAAGCAAATTATTTTTAGTTATCATTCATACTTTGTAGTGCAAATTAATAAATTCATTTTAACAATAGAATAGAGAAATTAGTTTGATTCGAATTGTTTTAATAAATTTATTGCTTTGTTGTTATTTATTAATATTAGATAATTAAATTTAGATAAAATAGTCAATTTAGTCAAAACTAATCATGTTTGAGGCCACTACTGAGATTAGCTAGCCATTAGTTAAGTATGACAGGTTTAAGTATCCTTTAATTTACTGGAAGATCTTAGTCCTAAATTTTAAGGTCAATATAATCATTATTTTATGAATTAGTTTTGGTTAAATTGCCTAACAAACCACTTTTCTCCAATAAAAAATGGAAGATGAAAATTAGAACAAAAAGTGATGTGACTTTTAATTAGAGGATAGAACCTGATGACGATAAAGCAAAATTCAATCAATTTCAAGTGCAGGTTCCATCCACTAATCTTGAATATTTGTAACACATCCTATGTCGATTTCTGATCTTCAATTTCTATTTTGTTGACATAAAGCATTTTTTGTTCGTTTTCTTTTGATTTGGTGAAAACGCAAAACGATTCAAATTTCAAATCCTAGAGACATTGGAAATAGATTTAAGGCTAGTCGTTGTGTGTCAACTTCTGGATTTGTGAAAAAAACATCGCTGTGCGTTTTCAGAAAAATCCTCGATTAATTTTAATTGTGTGTGAAAATTTATCAACAGCCTGACATCCTAAAATATGCTAAAGATTGAACCCTGCTGCTCTTTCAGCAAATTTTACTCAACTCAACATCCTAAAGTAAGATTATTCTGCTTACAACAATTTTACCATTTTACCAAATTTCACATATATTCATTTCAAAACACAATTTTTTAATATTTTTGTAAAAAAAATCTTTTCATTACATTAACCCGTTCCGTGCCTGCCGGGACGAATTTTTTTTATAGATACAAATGCGAACAGAACGATGTCCCGATTACAACAGTGGCGGGTTCCACCCTTCCGCTGGTGGAGATGCCAACCCATGCGGATGAGGAAGAAGGGGATTACGATCCGTTCGAGCACCGGAAATTGGCTCATCCTACATCGTAAGTTATGGATTTTGAATTTTTTCGAAACCTAACCTATTTGAACCTATTTAACCGTATTTGTTATTCCCCAGGGATCTGGACACACTAATCCATCTGCTAAAAGGCTCCCTAGGCAGTGGCATCCTGGCGATGCCTTTGGCTTTCCTCAACGCTGGTCTATGGTTCGGTCTATGCGCCACATTCATCGTCGGCGGTATTTGTACGTACTGCGTCCACATTCTTGTGAAATGCGCTCACATCCTGTGCAGGAGGACCCAGGTTCCTGCACTCGGATTTGCTGAAGTCGCCGAAGTTGCCTTTCTGGCTGGCCCAGAGGCTGTTCATAAATTTTCGCGACTGGCTAGGTAAGAGAGTAATAATATATCGAGGTAGGAGAGAAATTGATGTTGGTCTTATGTTTTCAGGGCTATGATAAATATGTTCCTGGTGATAGATCTTCTAGGATGTTGCTGTGTTTATATAGTCTTCGTCTCGACAAATATCAAACAAGTAGTTGATTATTATGCCGATGGTAACCTGGATCTTCGCGTCTATATGGCGATGCTACTGCCAATTTTGATAGTCATGAATTTAGTCCGTAATTTAAAATATCTATCGCCTTTCTCTATGATTGCTAACGGTCTAATGGCAACTAGTATTGGTATCACATTCTACTATATAACTCAAGATTTGCCAGCTGTCGAAGACCGGCCGGTGTTCTCTCAGTTTCATCAATTACCATTGTTCTTTGGTACCGTGATCTTCGCTTTGGAAGGTATCGGTGTAGTTATGCCTTTGGAAAACAACATGAAGACACCAACTCACTTTATTGGATGTCCTGGAGTGTTGAACATTGGCATGTTTTTCGTCGTCTCCTTGTACGCGGTTACTGGATTTTTAGGATATCTCAAATACGGCAATGATACACAAGGCAGCATCACTTTGAATTTACCCAAAGACGAAGTGTAAGTACAGTGAAAATACGATATGTCCAAAATGGTTCTAATATTTGCATTTATTTCAAATTATCATCCATATCCTTAGACTTGCTCAATCTGTGAAAGTGATGATCGCCGTAGCAATCCTGCTGACCTATAGTTTGCAGTTCTACGTCCCTATGGAAGTCATTTGGAAGAACGTCAAACACCGTTTTGGTGCCAAAAAGAACGTCGCCGAATACACTTTGAGAGTAATCCTTGTGACTGCTACAGTGGCAATCGCAGCAGCCATCCCCAATCTTGGACCATTCATCTCCTTAATCGGTGCCGTCTGTCTGTCTACATTAGGACTGATGTTCCCCGCCATCATTGAGCTGGTGACGTATTGGGAACGCCCAGGATTGGGTGTCTACAATTGGCGTTTGTGGAAGAATGGTTTCTTGATATGTTTCGGCATTCTGGGTTTCGTCACGGGCACCTATGTCAGTATACAAGAGATAATCGAGGCTCACTAACCTCGCATGATGACTGACGACTTGCCAGAGGGGAACTCTATTTTTTTCGTTCGGTAGTTGTGATTTTATTTACACTTTTTATAATGGTTCTTTCGGCAAATTCGCTGGTCGAAGATACGTCTATTTTAATAGATGAGGTGAGACGAGTGGATCTAGTTAGAGTTTTTTTACTTCTCGTCAAAAGATCCTTATGCTGCTCTTTCTAGTTCGTAATGAAAACATTGTAGTCAACAATTGTAATACTATATTATATTTACGTTAAATAGTTATAACCAGAGGTATGAATATTTATATTTGTAAGTTACGAAAATAAAAAATTCGCAAAAAAATGAATAAAAGAAAAAAATCAATAGAAATATCCAAGTCATAAATTTATATAGTTTAACGTCAAAAAAGATCCAAACCATTCAAGGGGATTGTCTATTGGTCGTGTGAGACGTTTTTTTCACGGTGAGAAACAAGCAAACTGGTTGTGGGTCTCAAATATAACGTGAATGTAAATTATTATTATCTCATACAAACAATTTAAATGAGATATCTCTAGATTCTTGTGCAACTAATGGACGTCCCCCAATAAACTAAAAAAAAAAACAGCCACTGGTTATGCTACAGACAGACCTTCGGCCTTCATCATATTTATAAATCTTTATATATATATGATATGTAAAAAATCATATATCTCACCTTGCTCGATGCAAATATCCAATATAGAACCGAAAAAAATTAAAAAAAAAAAAACTTGGCTAAGTTTTATTTAGCTGCCTATCGATAAATAATGTTGACACTGTGATTCGCTTTCGTTGTGTAGAAACGAAGGTGATAAACTAATAAAGAATTTATTAAAAAAAAATAATTATAAATAGGTACACAGAGTATTTGCCAAAATTATTGTTTTTTAGGTATAATCTTGTGTATTGAATACAATAGGCTGGTTCTGGGATAAGCTTGATCTCTAACTCACAGAGAACAAAATAACTTGAATTAAAGACAGCATCGAGATTAATCTGTTACTTGAAACAATGCATCAAGCTTATCCCAAAATAAGTGTATTGATTTTATTTTTATATAGATATAAATTTAGGTCTTAAGATTTAGGGTAAAAAAATATTTGAAAAAAAAAACAAGACGCTGATTTGTAAGTTATACGAAACTCAAAAAAATAGCTTTTCATAAAACCAAAGTATGAAAAAAACCGTTAATACATATCACAAAATAAATAAAGCGAGCTAAAACTAAACAAATTTAGTTTTATAAAGATGCTCATATTATATATAATGAAATTTAAATAGATTACTATGCCTTGAGATATAAAAAAGTATCAAAATATAATTCATTGAGAGAGTGAAATATAAAAAACATAACCCGAGTAACACACAAATGTATGTATTCAAATTTCTTTTGCTGAGGTTTTCAATTGCCATTGATACATATCATTGAAGATCAAATAAATAATTAATATAGATCCTTGAAATTTTTATATTATCGGGAAATACTCATGACTTTGGTTTATCTCTTCTATAACATCTGATCAAGTATTAAAAACTTGAATGAAAAATAGATATATTTATCTACCTCAAAATATTTCAAACAAATTTTAGTAACAATGCATTTTTACAGTTGAAAAATTATTTATACTATATTTATGTTTGATTCTCACACAAGAAACGTATGACTGACAATCATAGTTTTAAGTTTAAAAGACAACATGTGTATATATATATATATATATATATATATATGCATATATATCTTGTTAAAAAAAATATTGTAGATGATTTACGATGATGCTGTGAAAACTATATTCTTAATTTTTTTTAATTTAAATTATTTAAAAATCTTCAATCTTCGATATTCATCATTAAAATCACAACACAAATAGTTTTAATTTCAAAAAAATAAATAATTTTTCATATCATACTTTTCTAGATTTATTTCATGTAAAAAAATCATATATATATATATATATATATATATATATATATATATATAAATATATAAATATTTAATTAACTGTTTATTAACTTAATTCTATATGAATATATGTAGAAGCAAGATTTTTGCATATTCGAAAAGTAAATCATCTAAATTCAGGAAAACGGCAGCTATATCTTTTCTTTGAGCAAAAAAATAGAGTTCAGTAAAACAATTTTATCATTCTCGCACATTTCATGCAATCTCACAGACATTTTAACATGATCGCTAAAGTGATTGAATATTTTAAATTAATTTTAAATTATTGTTATCAGTTTTATATTGACAAAAAGTATTAAATAAAAATAAATAAAAATCAAAAATATGTGTCTATTATAACAACAAATACCATTATTCCATTCTCACTAGCATAACTTTACACTTGGGTTTATTGTGAAGAATTTTACAGGACACCTTACAGTATATGTCTGGCTTTAATTTTAAGATCTCTAAATTAAATTAGATATTAAATTCTTTGGTTTGTCTATTACTAAAACAATTAATAAAATTGATAAGTGTGTCAACGAGATTTTGGGTTAACTAGGGATTTAAAAAAAAAGTTTTTAATTTGATATTTTGAAATAGTAGTAAAAATTCAAAAGTTGAAATAAAAATTGAGAAAAGTGGTTTCGAAAAAGTTTTAAAACTTGAAAAAAAAATGAGATTTATAAAAATTCGAGCCATATTTTGCAGTTTTTAGAAACTTAGAAACGTTCTCGAACATTTATCATAATAATTATCACAAATATCATAATAATTTTATATATACATTAATGTATCACAATACTATATACTATATCTTTATAATATAATTTTTATATTTTAAAATATAAATTTAAATTTAGCGGTCGTTTTGTAAAAATATAGTGTCTCTATGGTTCTGCCGCAACAAGAGTCACGTGGTCACTTGTTTGTCCCAAATTCTTACCAAATGTTCTATGCTTGCGAAAAGTCAAAATGAAAAGTTAGGTTAGGATTTAGTTGTATATTTATAACTGTTATAATTATAACTAATTTTTATTATAATTAATGTGCAAAAACCAAGTATAGTTATATAAGGTATTAGTTTATTATTTTGTTAAAAATGAACGACAATACAATTTTAATACAAAGGATAACAGTGGAATCTAATGATAATTTATCAGAAAACGATTTTGAGATAAAAACGGAACCTCTTGATGAATGTAGCGAGCAAATACTATATTCCAGCACTGTCGTCAAAGAAGAATATTCAAATGTGGAAATAAAGATAAAACTAGAACCTGACTGCGAAATCGACATTAAAGATGTGATTTCAGAAGCGGAATCCCCAGATCGTCAACAGGTGATCAAAGGCGAAGAAGTCGACGTCTTAGACACAAAACAATCACTTGATCAATATAAGGCATTATTCACCCCCGATATGTTCCTGACCTCAAACCACCTAAGAAAACGTGACCAGCGCATACACGTATGCAACATTTGCGACCAGAAATTTAACAGACTCTTCCTTCTTGATTTGCACTTAAAGGCCCACAGACGACGCACGTCCTACCAATGTATTTACTGTGACAGAGATTTTTTAAAACCTAGTTGCCTCACCACCCACATGAAAGTCCATGAAGACAGTAGGAACTACAAATGTGAAATATGTGATTATCGATTTGAAAAAGAGTCAACTTTAAAAAATCATATGCGAGTGCATGTAAAAGAGAATACTCTCAAATGCGACGTGTGCAATAAAACTTTTAGGAGTAAGAGTAATTTGAATCGACATAAGATTTTTCATGTTGTTAAAGAAAGGAAGAGGTTGGCTGCTCTGGAAGCACGGAAAAATGGGCAAGAAGTGGAAAAAAGATTTAAGTGTGATAAGTGCGATAAACGGTATAGAGCTAGAAGAGATTTGAATAACCACCAAGAAAAGATACACAACGGGGAGCAAAACACTGATAAGTAAACAACAATGGAAATAGTTTAATCTAAATTCATTTAGTTGACACTTTAACTGTGATGATCCTTAGAGGTTTGCTTATTTGATATTTTAATTTTAGCGAGTTGCTATATTTTTATGTTTATTTTAATGCTATATTTTTATGTTTATTTTAAGTAATCAGAACTCATATAATGAATAAATGTACTCTTTGTGTGATGTAAATTGAGAGATTCATAGTTTTATGAATGATATACATATAAAATTAGTTTTAAATATAACATTTAGAATATACATAAGAAATTGTATAAAATTTTTTGTAATAAATATTCTATAGCAAGCAAGTCTCGTCTGAATAAAAAATTATATATGTAACATAATATTACAATAAGTTTTTCAAAAATGTAGACTGGTGTTTTATTTCATTTTACACATAGTTAAATTTGTGTTTATAGTTTTGCATTTACGGCCTTAGCTGTTATAAACCAAAAACAAATTAGGATAAGATCAGATTACTTATTTTCAACATAAATGCATTACTATAAAAAACAATACTTATTTGAAATTCAATATTAACTCACCTAGTAAACAACAGGAATTTTGCACAACACTTTTTAATTTGATTAAAAGTTATATTTCACAGTTATAAATGCTAATAAATATAATTCTACTTTACACAAAAAAAAATCACTCTGATACTGAAAAAATTTAAATATAAATAAATGTTAACAAGTACATGCTGTTAGAACTTTATGCAACACTGCCCAATTTACGAAAAAGTTATTAAAATTTGATATATTCAAAAGCATTATTCAGACTAATTCAATTCAATTTCTATTTATTTCAATACAAATTTAATCTTTTTAATAAAAAAAAATTAACAAACAGACATATCACTTGTCAAAAAACGAGTCAGCCATTTCCGTATACAGACGTACCAACGCACAACGGAATCTATATGAAGTTTTTCATATCCATTTTAATCATTTTATTAATATTTATATATTTTGTTTTTTTTACTATTTACTACATATGCTCACACTAATTTGTGTTTCATATAACTATAATAGTAATGAAATATATTATACAAACATGCTGACCTACTTAACATACAAATCTGAGCAGTTGTGAAGAATTTAATTGCAAAAACATCAGCTGGATAAAATCAGCCTAGACAATATTAGAATATGATATATACACATCAAAATCAGTACACTTTTCTAAATTCTATAGATAATTACTTTTTAAAAACTTATGCATTTACAAGTATTCATCAATAAAACCTATTCTTGTCTCAAGGAACTTCATATTTACAAATATTATAATGTTTCAGCTGCATAGATCTACATACTCATGGAGATACATATATAATATAATTTAAGTACTAGATTTAAAATTCATATATTTATTCAATATTATACATTCATTATATGTATTTATATATTTGTGCTTTTGTGTAACATCGAATGAATTATTTAAGTAATTTGTAATTATGTAAGTGTTTATCACATATATCTTATAGAAAAATATATAGTTATTGATTAATATTATTACAACTTAAAAACCCGGCTTAGAATAGATCCTTATATATATATATATATATATATATATATACAAGTTTTTGTTTTATATAATAATCTAAACATATAATTATATCTTTTACATTTCATATTTGATTTATTACAATGAACATATTAAATCATTGAAAAAGTTTTCAACAAATTCAGAGCTTTGCAAACAATGTAAACTCAATTCATCATGGATATGTGTAATTTCTAAAAACAATTTTACAAATTCGAGATCTCTGTGTAGTCAAGTTCAATTTCATAATTAATATATATCATAATTAAATCATAAAATTGGTTAAAATGTCCATGTTTTATATTTTTCATTCAATTTCATTCATGCAGTACTGCGTACAATGTTTTGAATATTTTTTTTTTGAGTTTTACCTTTTATGAATATTTTTCTTTTGGTAGAATTGCTTAGTAATGAGATCCTGAATGAGTTTGTTGTTAAAAACAATAGTTGAAAAGCCTGTTCTATGAAAAATCTCTTTTGTTTAAATATTATCCTATATCGACTCAAATTTTTATGAAAAACTATTTAAAACAGCAAATTAAATGTATTAAGATAAAATATATATATATGTCTATTATCTCATTGTACTTTCGTCCCCCTCGTGACATTATTAACATTCACTGTACTGTTTGTACAAGCTGCAGCAGTCCCTGTTTGTTGTTTATTTTCATGTATCAAATTCTGTGTATTTTGTCCCAAAACATTCCCAGGATTATTATTAGCACTAGTCGATTGGGAATTGGTAGTATTTGCTGAGACCGGCGCTCTGCCTCTGTTGCCCCTTCTCGTTCGGGACTTTTTGGTTTGCCTCTGGTGATGATTTGACAAATCCCTCTTGTCTGATTGAATGTCGAATGTCGAATCTGTTGATGTTACGTCCGACGCCTGAAATGGTAAAAAAAATGTGAACCACATTTATGCTTTATACTTTTTTGCATCATATTATTTTGCTATACTACTTATAATGCAGTGTAATGGGTAATGCTTTTATTTGCTAAATTTGTTGTAAAATTTAAATGGCTTCTCCAACCTGTACATAGTTGTTCACAAATTTCTACAAAATTTGTATACCTTAAAATCTAAAAAAAACAATTCATGCTCTTCTTTCATTAATTTCTTATATCTTTTACTGTGAACCATTGAATTAATATGAATGAGTTACAAGACAGAAATGTTTAGGAATAAACTGTTACAAATATACCAAAAAACAAAAAATCCTATGCAACACAACTTAATTCAAGCAATGTAAGTATAAATGCATCACATTTAAAAAATCATCTATCAATCATACTAACTTGTGGCAAAGCTTCATTAAGATTCTCCTTCTGCTGAGTCTTTTGAGATGTCCTTGCTTGCATTTTATTAGGTTTTGCTCTGTTCTGTAACATACTATGGGTCGTTGGCAATAACTTCAAAACATTACCCACCGCTTTTGTTCTGCCTTCACGAAAAACCATCCTCTGCCCTAAAGAATCACATTTCAATTAACAAGAATAAGAAAAATTAAAATCAAGCACTTTATATTTTGATGTGTTACCTGGTTTAATGTATTCAGGATGTTTGATGAATTTGAATCGAACCAAAGCTTTGTCTCCGGTTCGTAAACAATCCTGGGACATTGTTAAAATTGAAGCAGTTTGTCGAATGCTACCACAATGAACTAGAATAAAAAATTCAATTGTGCATCATATAAACCTAAATTTTATTTGTAAGGCTATTACCCATTGCTTGATATCTAGAACTGATTGTTGTTGGATGATGAAGCACCAAAATTTCACCTTCAAACTCCCAACAGGCCTGTGGTTGTAACTTAGGTGAAACCATCACCATTCCTTTACGAATTTGGTTTCTTTTAATCTGCACAAAAAATTCATTTTTATATAAACAATTGAGAATTAAATCCAAGCCATCATATTACATAAAATGACAAGTCTTATATACTTTTTTTAATGCAAAACTAGCTGTTTGCCCTCCTCGAACTTCCTTGACAGCCATCCTCTTACGATGAATACTTTTTACTGCAATTGGTTGGAAATGACCAATTGGATCAGGACCCAATAATAATACATCGTTTAATCGAATGACACCTTGCAGAGTTGTACCGGAAACAACTGTTCCAACACCCTAAAAAAAAATAAGTTTATAGATGGATAGATACTTTATTCAAATTCAATATTTACAATTTAAGTCAATACAATTATTATTTTTATCACAATACTATAAAATAACTAAACTAATATCAGTTATGTTCATAAACAACTCTATGATTAACCTAATGAAATTAATATTTATCTTGAATATATATATATATATATATATATATATATATATATATATAGATTTATATATATATATATATATAGATTATATATATATATATATATATATATATATATATATACATATATTAATAATTAATTAATATACATTTTTAGATGTATGTTTATATTATATAACTCACAGGTACTGAGTATGTATCATCAATTTGAAATTCAGCAGGCTCATCATCATGCGAAGGCATCCTTGTTGTCAGTAAATTCAGAAACATTTTTAATAAATCCAAATTTTCTCCGTTGACATTAGATACTTGGAAAATCGGACACAGCCTGAAAAATACACAAAAAATAGTACACATTTTAATAGGCACACTCTTAATAAATTTCTTTCACATACCTCTCCGAGACAAAATTAGTGGCACTCAAAACCACATCATCTGGTGCCTTTACCATAACCGGTACCTTCCTGCAACCTGGTGACTTTAATATTCTAACTAATAGTTTTAAGTTGTCCTGAAGAATATTCGGGGGGCACATGTCTATTTTTGTAACGACTACAAACACTGGAACAGATAAAGCTAGAGCTAGCCCCAAGTGCTCTTTTGTCATACCGACAATACCAGCATTTGCACCAATCTATAAGAATAAAAAATATTCCTATTGGGCCACTGTGCTATTTATTTACTAAATTTCTCGCAACCTGCAAAATGGTTATTATAATATAAGTGGATAATTTATTCCTTACCATAAGCATTCCAAAATCAGGTGCATGTCCTGTCATGCCAAAAACAGTAGTTTTGAGGTATCTTTCATGACCGGCCAAGTCAATAAATGTAATAATCTTTGCTGATTTTTCACAAATTTTTACCCAGTCCAAAGCTCCATGATCAGGTTTATTAACAACATTACCTAGAACAAAAAACACATCATGAAACAAGATATTACATAAAATTTAATACAGAAACATTTATATTATTTTTGCAGACCTATGCTATCAAAACCAAGTATGTCATTCCCTACAGAACTGGTACGTCCACTTTCCATTTCATGCTTGTGTCTAAAAAGTCTCTGTCGAGCATGGCCTCTGCCATTGTCTAGTTCTCCATGTGTTAAGACACCTAATAATGTTGATTTACCAGCATCCACATTTCCTACAACAGCAACTCTAAACAACATACAAAAAAATGAATATTATTTATTGTATTATTGCATTTGTTATATATAAATAATTTAGCATTATAAGCATTTTATTTATTAACCTTATTTCCATAAAATCAGACTGGTCCAGCCGTTTCCTAATCAAGTATTGTCCTGTGGTTCCTGATTCAGCTTTGCGCTGCCTCAATTCCACACAATCTGCATCAATTGTTTCCGATAGTGATTGCAGAGTAGCTAAAGAAGCACAGTATTCTTCAGGTTGTAAACCACTGTCACTACCATCTAAAAAAATAAACACATGTATCGAATATATAATACAAGTTTTAAAATATTGATTGAAGGTGAATGACATTTTACAAACAGACCTTCTCCAATCCCAATATCATAAATAGTTTCTCCCCTGCCATCCTCAATTCTATCTTTAAGCCTTTGCAGCAAAAGCTCATACTGTTCCTCAGATGGACTCACCAAAACATCCTAAATAGAAAGTTCAAATAAAAAACAAATATATATATATATATATATATATATATATATATATATATATATATATATATATATATATATATATATATGTACATATATATGCATGTATATAATAGATTGCTTGTGATTTGATTCATTATAAAACATTTACCTTAGCCCGAATGATCGAATAATCAATTGTGGGCATTGCAGCAACTGTCTGTGCAATGGGACTGGACATATTTTCCATTTTTTTGCCTGCTGTTACTTTTAAATCATCCATTGTTTATATTTATTTACATTTCTTGACGACTTTACAATTTTTTTGAAATTAAATATTATTTTATGAATTTAAAGACAAATCCATAATCTATTTTTTTTTTATTTTAATATTTTTCACACGAGTGCAGTTTAATATTGTTTCTTTATCTTAACCATATTGAGTTTAAAAATAACTTTTGTCAATTTTAAACGAATTGCATCATAATTGTGCAACAAGGATCACAAACGAATGATTCATTTTTCATTCAACTATTATTCTTTTGAATTGTTTAGTCGTCGGCTTTTTACATATTAATTTAAATTAATAAATATGTTCAACAAAGAATAAATAATTTGCTGTCAAATATGTTTCCATTTGTTGTTTTTTGACAAATCGTGCCAACAATATGCTTGTGTGTAACCAAATCTGGCAACAATACGAAATAGCGGGAAATTTGAAAATGATATGAAGGAAATTATTTAAAAATTTAAATATAATATAAATCAAATTAACGTATATTCATGTATAAACATTGATTTTATCAAATAAATACATACAATTATAATAAAAAAACAAATATTGGGACAATATAAAAATAGAAGTAATTCAAATACTTGAAGTAAATTGTATGATTGCTTTAAAAAAAAGATTATTTTGCACATATATCAATTTATTGTATTAAAATATTTATTTACATATCTACAACTTTCTATTGAATTTCAAAAAACATTTGGTCTAAAATTTTATTTGCATTATATTTATTTTTAAAAATCATTTTATTTATTGGCAGCACTGTCATGGTGACTGTTGGTTAATGTGGGCTGATGGTTGAAAACAACAAATTAAAATTTACATTTAAATTTACTAAATATTTATCTGTTTATGTATTGTAAAATGAATTGTTTTACACAATTAAATACACAATTTGCCCAATTTGTTAATTAGAAAAGTGTTTGCCTGAACCTGATGGAAAAAAACAAAGTTAGAAAAAATGTTTAATAAAACCAAACAAATTAAAAGGTAGTGACATTAAATTTCATAATATATTTATAATATTGATTTATATAATAAGAGATCATCTTTAACTATAGTTTAAATATTATCTGTGCATAAATAATTTCAAAATTTTATAAAACTTTTGTATGGAACTACAATACTATTTTCAGCTATACTTAATACTTCATTTTCATTTTATTTACTAACAGTTTGTGATCAAATACTTAAAATAATATTTATTCACAATACATAAAATAGTATTTAATCACAAACTGTTAGTAAATAAAATAACTAATTGAACTATAGTTCAATTACAATAGTATTTACATGCACATATATTTACAATATCTAAAACATAAAACAAACAGACTAATTATATTAAAATGTTTATCAGCTATAATGATTAATATTAGACAAACGACCAAATTGATTAATACTATACAAATTTAATTTTTTCTTTGACAGTATGTGAATCGTTATTAATAGATCGAACTAAACTTTTTAGCAAGTTAACTCGCACTTTTCAATTGAAGTAACACTCCCACTAACTTTCTTTAATGCATTATAAATAGGAATGGAATCATGATGACACTGGGTAAGTTTATATTCATCAACCACATCTTAATTATTATTCACAATTTTCTTTATTATCTATTTATTTGAATTATTGTTTTTAATGTTGATTCCTCAAACGTGTTATTATTATAATCATGATCTGAGAAGCACTACTATGAATAAATAAACTATAACTTTCTAGCAGGGTTACTCGAGCCCCTCGAGGAATTTAACACTGTCACTAATAGTCTTCGATGTATTATATATAAGAATATGTTCATAATTTTCTAACATGATTCCATTGATAAGTCTAATCTCCATCAACCACATCTTAACTACTGTTCATGAATAATGTCATAATTTTCTTCGCTGTTCATTCACTTCGATCTTTGGCATCAATGGTAAATTCTCCAGAGTCGATAAGATTTTATTATGAACATGGTTGCTATCATTTGAGGAGCATGAAGAAAATGAAGACAATGCTTCGTTGAAACTATTACTTCTTTGAGTCTCATTACTTTTTCTAAAATAAATTGCATAAATAATTAATATAATTGTATAAACATATTATAAATATAAATCGCAAAGTTGTTATGAAAATAAATACAACTAAAAGAAATAACTCATGTCTGAATGTTATCTTTCTTCTCACCTAGAACGATCCACCTTTAATGTTTTCTGGAATTCCTCAATAGTTACAGAACCCATAAAAACATCTTCTTCGTCACTTGAATCCATTTTTCTATTATAAACTCTATATATAATTTTCGTATAAAATGAAAACTGTAATGGAATTGGATTCTGTATAAATAATGTATAAATACATATGCTGTCGAAATGAACGTTGGTGTTGTCCGATTGTTTTAAACTGTAGTGTGGAATTAAAAAGTGTTACCGCATTAGAATTGAACTAGTGGTGTATGTATGTATGAAAAATTTAATCATCCTGGTCGATTTTGATAATTTAATCATCTTGGTCTACCGAGGCATTTTTCAGATTCGAACCTTTATTCTGAACGATACATTTCAGGTTTTTGTTTTCATCCTGAATTAAGTAATTATTGTTTGCATTTATGCTCGTTCAACTTCAATGTTTTTCCTTTATCATATGAAATAATATGTCCAAATTACGAACTGTGCATCCATCTGCCCAGTAGATTACTGGGTTTGCATGGAGGTCTTCGAACACATTTCGATTAAAAGTCTTATATATTTCAAAATTGTGTGAGAAAATCTAACAATTTTATTATATATTGTTAGAACATATTGTTTGAATAAAAACATACTAAAATTATGCCATTGTAGTACAAACGGTGCCATATGTATTGCTCGTTAAAATTGACCGCCGGTACATCAGTGGTACATGTGTGCAGAGAATATGTCTTATAACTAATTTTCAAAAAACCCATCAATTTTAGTGTATGTGGTCATAATAGAATGTTTGCAAAATAAGATATTAAAATCACAACATCGTAGTACAACCTAAGCGGCCTGTAGAGCTCATTAAAAATGATAAAATCAAAATTTTATCTATGATCCATCACTTTATATTCATTCGAAGCGCTCGTCTTCGCCTCAGTCGAAATTTCGATCTCGCGCCGCGCGCATGGCGGAAAATTGAATCCCGTGTTTTATTGTTTTTTTTTAAATAAATCTATTATTTAGATATGTTCAAAATTGTTGCTGTTTTAGTTTTTCCATTCCGATGGATATGAGAATCTTTTTTGTACCCAATTGGGAAATTCTGAAACTTTTTAATATCTATTTGATGAATAATTATCACGATATTTGACGACGAGTAAAACAAATTGGAAAAAAGGTTTTGATTGTGAAAATATTTTTTGTGTGAAAAATTTCAAGGTAAATATATTATTTTATTCTTATACATATATGATTTTGTGCAAATTTGTTGCCAAAAATGAATTGGCCACAGTTCAAAATTTATCTAAATATAATGTTTACGCACTTATTAGATATATTTTTAAGTTTCATATAATACATGATTTATTTCTTGTAACTTCTAAACAGTTTCCTTAATTTCTATAAATTTGTACAAATTGAAGTAAACTTTATTAACCCTCTCGACTCGGATGCCGCCGCTCCTCAATTTCCGAGTGGGAAGGGTTAATAACTCACAGTAATTTGGTGCACATTGAACACAAAAATACTTGAAAATTTACAAATTTAATTTATCCTAGTGTCCTGCATTTCTTTTATACATATTTCATAATTTTTTATTTAAAAATTTTTATATTTTAAATTTAATAGGTGCTTGAACGCTAAATTCGAATACATAAGAATTATATAAAATTCTACATTACTCAAAATTCTGCTAAAAAGCTTTAGTAGATTTCATCATTTTTTATATGATAGATATACTTTGAGGAAAAATGTATTAAAATTACAAGGTTACATTACAAATGATGAGTCCTATACAGCTCATTAAAATAAGGTGTTAATCAATTTTAATATTTTATCACCTTACATGTGGTACACAATTTTCTAAAATCAGTTCTAAACAAAAATTTTGTTAACTCTTATCAGTTTCAGTAATTATCATCATGATAGACACAAAAATTATCCAAAAATCTTATTTCTGCCCAGGGAACTATATGCCCACATTTTATATAACACACAATTTGATTATATCGTTTTATAATATAAAAGCTGTTATAAAATCTAATTTACCAATGTTATTTTTCGCAATAATGAACCTTTTGGATTGTAACAAGTCCCGAATTATACGAAGAAGTATAATATACAATTTCAGTGCAAAATATTGTAAAGCCCGCCATAATTCAAAATTTTGTAATCAATTCTGTTATCATAATAAATAATAGATAGACATCTCGAGGACGGTAGATCCTGCAGAGCTCAAAAATATTAAGACATATTTCGACGTTGATTTAACTTTCTCACCCATACATGCACAGTTTTATTATAAAATCTTAAAAGTATCCAAATTTTGTTAGAAATATTAATTTTATTATTTGTCGTCACAATAGACACTTTGTAGACTAATAGTTATTAGAATTTCAAGGCTTTACAATTAGTACAAACGGAGCGTCCTGCAGATAATAATATTTCAGACTCATTGAAAAGTCAATTATTTTTTAAACAATCTGAAACCTTTTGATAAAACCATTTTTCTGAAACCATTCGATAAATTTGAATGTAACAAATGCATTAATTTATGAATTTCCATTTTGCACATGCAGAATTTACGACCTGATGATAACAGAAACAGAAAATGGGTCAATGACATCGATGACGAAGACGGACAATAAAATGTGATAAATAGAATTGTTTTTACTCGATTTGTGGAAAACCGTTTTGTTTATTTAATTTGTAATATGAAATAATAAATTATTGATGACTCAGACAAAAAATTAACCCAATTGAAAAATTGCAATACATAAACTTAAAAATATTTTTCTCATTTGACTGTTGTTTAATGCAATTGTGTACCGCACCATTTTATTCATTCAAAATGGTTGTATTTGATTAATAATATTTATTATATTAATAATTATTTATTCTGTACTAGATATTTAAAAATCAATGCCATTGTTTTAATAAGTATTATAAATACTAATATATTTGCATTGGATCTAATTAATTGTTTATGACATCATTTTGTCAGGTTAAAAATAATTTAATTTATTCATAAAAAGCTATAATGATCAAAACACGAATTTTTTTACATAGTTTTAATGAAATGCCAAAGTAGTTTTTTTTTAAACCTAAGT